AACAACAATGCGATCGATATGACTCAAGTATAACGATCTCAATGATTCCAACAGAACTCATTCCTACTGCTTATTAGTAACGAAATCAGTATAGTGTAGTTCATTGCGGACGGTTGGGCGTGTTCGTGCGGCTGCGTTTGGCGCGGTGCCAAACTCGTTCTCCACGAGTTGTTCAAGCGAGCAAATGACAATACTGTATCATACCTTTCGTATTACTTGTTTTCTACTGCTTTTTGTCGCATGCCCGTTTCAACAAGAAGGCAGAGAACAGCTCAAAGAGGGTGACACACTCATACTGGCTGACACGCCCAACCGTCCGCAGCGAAGTAGAGTGTACGACCGCTAAGCTAGCTCTATTCCAAATGCATGGGTTTGTTTACAGAGATGTTATGAACAGCAGCAATTGACTTAATCACTCTTACCACAATTATCTTCCATCAACAACCTTAGTGAGGGCCATTTGTACCAGTCGGATCGCTGGCTAAGGCCGGCTCTCCTCCTTCTGTGATGCGGCGGGCGCTGCTGCTGCTTCTGCGTCTTGACGGAACGAGCGCTGCTTTTCAGTTCTTGGCTGATGCAGAAGATTCCTTTGAACAGTGTGGTTGGTCAACGATCCGTAACTTAGCACGCGGCCGCATGGCCCGGCGAAGCCGGGCCATGTCACAGAAGGAGGAGCGCCCGGCGACAGCTGGGCGACTGGTCAGCCGACAAGCCGATAGATATCAAATGTATCTGTGACGACCGGTTAAGAGTGTGGTTGCCTGTGCACTGAAACGAAACACCTAGGCGTAGGCATATGGGTCCTTATTGTGGCACAGTGTGGCCGTGTACACTTCGCGTAGGGACAGTAACGCCTAGGTCGTGGGTAGCAACAGCGCACCTGCGTGGCAACAGCGGAGACGAGTTGAGGCGAGCCACTACACGTACTCTTACCGGACGAGGATCCTCCTCCATCCGGACCCCGATGCTGGGTCAGAGGGGCTCGACGACCGGGTGAGACGCCAGGCGATGGAGGACGGAAGCTGCTCTCGGCACGACTCTAGGGAATAGGCTTTCTTATTTCAGCATCCTGCTGCGATTCGTTTCACTCCTTGTGCATCATACACTATTGTGCGCCATGATATCGAATGAACTTGTGCGATTCAATTAGGGCTACCTTTTGGTGCATGCAGCGATGTGTTAGCAAAAGTGGCGATTGCATTGTGGAAAAAGTTCTCATTTAACAAAAAAATAGTTAAGGTGGACATAAGAACAAAAGTCGGCTATGCTATCGATGTCGCTTCTGGTCTCGACTACCTACATTCTAAAAACTGCATGCATAGGTACGATGATTTCTTACTAAGAAAAGGGATGCTATCCGTGAAAAATCCATCCGTAGGATTCGCATGCCGGAACTGCCTCATCAATGTGGCCCAAAATGTTGTTAAGCTTTCTGATTTTGGCTTATCCAAACAAGCTGAGAAATATAATATTCCGGAGAACGAAAAATTGTCACTCAACTGGTATGTTACAAGGACCACTTTTACGTCACTTTCTCAAGGCTTCTCACTAATACAGGCAAGCTCCCGAGGTTATCTTGACCAGAGTCTCAGCAAATGTGATGTAGTTTTTATGGCATACTTATTTTGGGAATATCCATAACCTGGAGAATAGCCATTCAGGGAATTACACAAAAAGTTGAGAGCTAAGGTGAGGCGTCGTTTCGTAATTCTCAAGAGTCGTCAATCCTATGTAGGTCCAAAACCAGAAACGCTGTGTTTTCGGACATGACACGATGTCACATGGGTGCGTGCACTTAGATACCCGGGTGGGCGTGGCCACAGAGGCAAGGCTTCGAAATGGACCGGTGTTTCCCAAATTTGTGCTGCAATAGATATTAGACGGGAGCACCGTTTACAAGGTAAACGTTCCTATTGTCTTCAAGGTGTGCTTAATGTTGATTTCATGATCATACGTAAGACCTGATAACCACTTTTTCGCCTCTGCCTAATGTATACCTTTGCAAAAAGCATAAATTCCAATCTAAGTTAATTCTTCCTCTCGGAACTTCTTAGTTCAAGCAGTAGAAACACACAGCTGTTTAATAAGAAGGAAATTATCGTCTCCAAGCTCAGGAAGAAGCGCTGAAGCCTAATTATATCCGTCCACGTCAAGCCCTCGCCCTATTTTGGCCACGCCCACCGGGTATCTAAGTCACGTAGCCGATGTCACATAGAGCGTCATTGCCAACCTGAAAAGGGGATTGGATGTGGGATACCCGTCTGCAAAAGGTGAGCACCACTTTTGCTGAATGGGACTGGTTCATACACAGTGACGTTCCTCCCTTTGGGGTATGCAAAACCTCATCTTCCAGCACCATGCATACGGTTCATAGGTTATAATATCACAGTCAGTTGGAGGCGGTGTGGCGAGGGTGAGGTGGACCCGCTTTGCTCTACGAAATGATCGGCTAGTGATCGATTTAGGAAGAAAACAATCAGTGGTGACAAGGCCGCAATAACACAAGCTCACCACTCTTGAAAGCGACTCTATTG